GTAAACGCAATTCAGAAGACTCAATTTCCTTTTCGAGCGAGCGCAATTTGCTATTTTTTTCCCTCTCTTCCCCTCCCTTCGTAGGAACGAAGGTCACAGCTTGCAGGCTTTTGCGACTCGCTTATCACGCGAATATTTTTATTGCAAGTTTATCAAAAGCTCCGCGCGCCGCCGCTTGAAAGAAACGCATATCGAATATTGCGGAAATGCGCGGCTATGTGTGTCACATAAAAGCGAGAAAGCACTTAAAAACCGAAAGAGCTTCCGGTCGCTGCGTCACCGAGTTGGCCATGCATTATTAAATCGCGAGAAAGTAATATGGTCGTAGTCTCAGGTTTCGATCTACGCGGACATTAGGTCGATCTTTAATCTCTCTTTCTGGAATTTTAACTCTCAGAACTAGAAAAAGATAAGAAGTAACTTGAACCGAGATTAAAGTTAATCTACATCGGTAGAAATCGACAGAACTCGGTTTACTAAAAAGTTTTTTTTTTTAAACGTATTGTTCAACGTCTCAATATAAAACGGATTGACTTTTTGACTTCCCAATTTCGAAGCGCTCATTTTGGCTTATAACAGAGAAATTAAATATAAAAGCTTTTACTAATTTTTGCATCGCTGAAGACGGCTCAATGTGGACCCGAAACGTCCGGATTATATTGTACCTTGCGAAATTTAAATAAATCACTCTTTAATCTATAAATTTATGCATCAATAACCGCGTTATGCTTTCACATCTCATTCGTTGCTCCAATTTATTAGTATCATTATCGATAGTCTCAAGTTAGTTTTTCTTTTTACACATACACGTTTCTTTTACCCCGCATACTTAACTTATTTATACATTTTATTTCAAAATAATCTGACGCACAGTGTCTTTCCTTTTAAAGGGGAGAAAAAAAGAGAACGACTGCTCTCCCTTGCGCCATTCGTGGAGAGATCGACTCGCGCAATCCCGCGACTTAGGCGAGAGTCACTCTCGCCGTTCGCGTACATACGTGTGCACACTTGGAGATATTATCTATTTATACATACCTTCGTGTCACTCGCGGGACGCCAGAAATGATCACGCTCGGAGCGCAGGAGGTCCGCGTGGCCGGCGTGGCGAGTACGTAGCACCGGGACAGGCCGGACAGGGACAGGTCGAAGGGCCGCCGGCATTTGTCGGAGGAGGAGAAAAGACACAATGAACGCGGAGGATCCCTCGTCCTATCGCTGACTCGTTCGCCTGGGCCTATAGTCAAACCGGGGCACCGACGCGTACGCGTGCGCCTGCACGCACGCACGCACGCACGCGGCGCGATAATTCTCGAGTTTAAATCACGGTCATTCCACTCGCGCACGACCTTGTTCCTTGTTCGAGAGCAACAGTACAAAAAGCACAGCGACGCAACAGTGGACGCACAGTTTTCGCCTCCATTCCGCCTTCCGGCGTTGCGTGGCGCCCGGGGCGCCCCTCCCGTTCTCCACCCGCTCCCCCTTTCCTGTTTCTGGACTCGATGGAGAAAAACGGCCGATGCCTGCCTTTTTTTCTCTCTCTCTCTCTCTCTCTTTCTCTCTCGAGATTACTCTCGAGAGTTCCTGTCCTCGTCCTCGAACCGCTCCTCTCTCGAGAAAGAGAGAGACGTGGAGATTCTTCTCTCGAATACTCTTCGCTCTTATCTTCTCCTTTTCTCCTTTCGGCCCGCACCTCTCAAGATTCTTCCGCGGTTCGAAATTCCTCGGAAATGTCCGCGCAGATCGGCGTAATCGTGGTCACCGTTCGACCACCGCGTCGTCTAAAAATATTGCGATTCGGATTCACGCCCGACGCGGCAATGCGGCAGTTGCGGCACAGCAACGTTCTCGCGTCGTTCGCGGGTGCGACAAACTTCAGACTTTTCGCCGTCGTCAACGGTGTGAATGTCGCCGAGAACGACGCTTCGATGACGACGCGCGCGATCGATCGTCGATCTCCCCGGTGCGGCGGCGACGGCGACGGCGACGGGAGACCTTTCTCGCTTCGATTCTCGCGTTCGCCACGTTCACCTCGATAAAACAAAACCGGGTCGGGCGAGCGTGACTCACGCCGCGCCGCCGGCGGGCTCTCGCGGTCGACGGACGCCGGACGCGACGAATTTTATTGTGTTCCTCGCCTCGCCCCCGATTCACACAATCGCGCCGAGACGAATCGAAGGCCGGAGGGGGCGCCGATCGATAACGAAATCGATAATATAAATTACCTCGCTCCGGAGTCACGATAGTGGCTTGGAAATGCACCAGGGGACCACGGAAAAAAAGATTCCCCGTGGATCCGATCGAGGACAATTCTCTTTCTTTTCGCTTTTTCTCTACCGTTTTCGTCGATCCGCACGCGAAATTCCAAACGCGACGCACTCGCGAGACACGCGCGAGAGATACTCCGTCCCCTCGCCGGCGATTCGCTTCGAAGGAACGATCGCTGGTCCCTCTCTTTCTCTCGCACACTTGTTTACTCTCCTTCTCTGTCTCTCGACTCGTTTCCCCCCCTCCCCTGCCCTCTCTTTGTCTCTTCAAGTTTTCCTCCCTCGTCTCGCTGTTTTTCTCTCCCTTTCGTTCCGTCCCCCTCAAATTCAACTCTTCCTTCCTTCTTTCTTATCTGTCGATCTTTTCTTTTTTTTTCTCTCTCTCTCTTTCTCTCTCCCTTTCCCGCTGTCGCAACGAGCGCGTGCCACGTAACCGCTGTATGGGTTTTAAGACGAATACTTCACGGTGCCCGCGTAAGGCACGCACTGAGAAAGAACGAGCTGCCGACGCGAGGCAACGCGCAACGGACTGCAAGTCCGCTCCGCGTACGTCCGTTCACCAATTCAACCGCCGATCCACGCACCCACACGCACGCACGCGCGAGGTGGCAGAAGGGGAGAAATAGAGAGAGAGAGAGAGAGAGAGAGAGAAAGATTGGGTCCGGTCTGTGGTAGAGAAAGGGAGATCGGGAGCGCGCGCGCGCGCGCGCGAGAGGGAGAAAGAGAGAGAAATGCGATGACCGGAAGAGGGAAAACGGGGGGAACGGGGAAACGTGGGAGGGAGAGAGGGTTGGAAGAAACAGGTATACAGGTAAGGCGAATGATCCGGGAATGGACGCAAGGATCGAGACAGATTCCAAGTTGCTCCGGTAATATCGTTGACCCTTTTGTGACACTTATTGCCGGAGCGTCGATCGACGTTTATAAAAGAACGTGATTTAGCTCCGACGGAATCTTTCTGTCGATGTGCGCTCCTACCGGAACATCGGTATCCTAATCTGCCGGGAAAAAGAGCTTGGCTGATCCCGTGCGAGAGATAGAAAAGACGGGAGAGAAAGAGAGAGAAGCGAGGGGGAGTGAATCACTTCGGCATAAATTCGGATCGTTTGCCAATTTTCTCTTATACGTACATGGAAAAATGTTTTCGTCACCATAATTCTATTGTCGTAGTACTATATAGAGATACATATCAACCATCAGAATTCCAATTTATCGAGATTTTGTATCAATTTTTCGATTCCGCCCCATTTAAACAAAGGGGAATGTCGCGCGATTCAATTCAATGAAAACGATTGTCGGGATGGTAACTTATTGAACAACTGATATCCGATAATTTAATTGAAATAATAATAATCGGACAACGGAATCGTAGAGGCCATCGTGCTGCTTCATGGTCTCCTTGTTGCAGAAGGGGGACAAAGGGATGGGACGAAACGAAGAGAGAAAGAGAGAGAGAGAGAAAACGGACGCGAAGGCGGACGTGGAAGCATCGAGATTGGTCGAGCCTCCGGGTCCAGACTCGAGCGATGCCGTTTGCGGACAATCGCTGGACCTATCGGCTCAGGTGCAACCGCGTAGTCATAAATTTACAGCCTACAATCATTTAAACGAGGCTGATTATTAAAACAAATGGACCTATTCGAAAAAAAAAATACGTGGAAAAATCAAATGAGAGATGAAATGATTTATTAATCGGAAAAGATAGATCGATCTGCTCTTTATTTGACTAAAGAACCATCGTATATTAATATTATATAAAAAATGACTTTTTCTTTCGAGCTAAGAACGAGGGTAATTGTTTCCTATAACTTGTTGAATACAATACATTCTGTCAGCAAAGCTCTTTCGCTAGGCGCTAAATTAATCTCAAAATGATGACGTAGATAGAGCAATTTGGTAAACGGGATCATATTTAAGTCTAAAGAACTATTAAAAACTATTATCTTTGTTCTTGCGTATTTTTTTGTTGAACAGTGCTATTCATTAATACAATACAAAACATTATAAAAATATTTTGCGAAGCTTTTCAAACTTTATCAAAATTACACAGTCCACAAAAACAGCACGTAATTTTCATATATATTTTGTATATAATATGTACACATATATATAGTAAAATTGCAAAATTTGTATATGCATGATAATGATCCTTTAGCATCTTATCAATGTGTGCGTTTATCTTTCCTTGAAACCAATTCATCAAGTCTCCTTTCTAACAAGTCAGCGTCTAACCGGTGTTTGCACAGATATTGACCTTCTAAAAAGAGGACTGGTATATCGTACCTATACAATTTAAAATAGTGTTCGTTGTCTTGCGCGGCGATGTCAACTTCTTCCAATTGATAACGACCAGCAAAATGTGTACGCAGCTCGTTTTTTAAAATATCGCAAAGCGGACACGGGCTTTTCGTGTACAACGTTAATTTTGGTGGAGAAGATATCGGATGATACCTAAAAATCATACAATATACTTCCTCTTTTGAGAAATCTCTTTTGCATATTACAGTTTAATTGAAAAGTCGATAATATCAATCGAACTGTCGATGTAAAAGAGTTTATTTCCGTATATTAATGTAATAAAGTACACAACGCAACGAGACGCTTTGAACAGCAATAAAATATACAGTAAAAATATATAATAAAAAATAACATTTTTATTAAAATATATTTCCATATGTTGATTTAGAAGTTATTTTATATATACATATATATTGTAGAAAAATGTAAAATATTATTTTATATAACAATAATCTTATTTATACAAATAAGAAAAGCTATAAAGCTTTTCACCTACAATATTGTTTGATAGTTTTACAGTGTAAAAATAATTTCTTTTTTTTATCACGATTCATATCGATAATAAAGAAAGATTGTCCGGTTCGTACAAACTGAAATGGCAGCCATTGTTGATGATTTGCGAACTTACAGTTTTTCAATCAGGATTGATGATGCACCGCCGCCCCCGTTGCAAATCGACGCAACGCCTTTTTCTCCAGCTTTGAGAGCATGCACCAAATGTACTACAATACGTGCTCCTGACATGCTGTAAGATTCATTATTTATTAATTTTTTAATATACATTAAAGGCATTCGGAATAATAAAATGTACTCTAATAACTTACCCTATGGGATGTCCAAGCGAAACGGCACCACCATGAACGTTTACCTTGGCCGGATCGATGTCGAGTAATTTCTGATTTGCCACGACCACCACGCTAAATGCCTCATTAATCTCCCACAGAGCGATATCGTTTTTATTAACTCCAGCATTTTGAAGCAGCTAAACAAAAACTTGTGGTATTATTCCTATTCCAGAAAAAAGTCTCCGTCTAGTTATATGCAACAGTGAACAACTTACCGATGGCACAGCAAGAGCCGGTGCGATCGGAAAATCTATAGGATCCGTTGCTGCGTCCTGAAAAGCGACAACTCTGGCCAGAGGCTTGAGATTCAGTCTTTGAGCAACGTCGCTTGTCGTTAAAATTAAAGCAGCGGCACCATCATTTAGAGTGGATGCATTTCCAGCTGTCACTGTACCATTCTCTTTCTGCATATATAAATAAGAATACATGTAGAGAATATATATATAGTAAGAGTTAGACAAAATTATTCATAGATATGAATAAATTAGCAGAGTGTCATTTTACCTGGAAAACTGTGCTCAATTTGCCAAACTTCTCAAAGTTGACTCTTTTATATTCTTCATCCGCAGTAAAAGTCACATCTGGTTTGCCCTTTTTTTGAGGCACACTAACGGATACAAGTTCATCTTTGAATACGTTATTGTCATAAGCTGCCGCGCTGCGTTGGTAACTACTGATAGCATATTCATCTTGTTGTTGACGAGTGATATTGAGTTTTTTAGCCGTGTTTTCGGCACAATTACCCATATGACATTTATTGTAAACATCAGTCAATCCATCGAACACAATGCCATCCTGTTTAATTTTTTGGAGTGTTAATTACTTATATTAATGTAAATGTAAATTTCTGTTCTATATATGCACGCATGCATGCACACATACATATATAAACTAATAGGAAAAAATAATAGAAGGAATATAGCTCAACCTGGAGTTTTACTCCACCGTATGGAGTTTCGCCACGTGCTAAATAATACGGCACATTAGACATAGATTCCATACCACCGGCTAGAACAATCTCTTGATGGCCGCATTGCAAAGATTGAGAAGCCAGCATGACACTTTTCATGCCACTCGCACAAACTTTGTTCACTGTTGTACATATTGTTGAACTTGGAAGACCTAAAATAACACAAACACATTAATCTCATTAACGCTCTATAGTAAAGAAATGCATATGTGAATTTCAATAACATATCGTAATTTCACACAGATCTGCTAAAAAAATCATCTTTTTCTCATTATTATTATTATTATTAGAAAAAAGTTGTGAAATATGATTATCAACTGTGATAAAAAATACATTTTCAAGACCTGCAAATAATGCAGCCTGTCTCGCTGGTGCTTGACCCAAGAAACCTTGACAGACATTGCCCATATATATTTCTTTAACTTGTTCCTTGGCGATACCAGCTCTTTCGATGGCTGCCTAATGAAATAACATAATCTCATGATTTATAATTCATGCGCTTAATTATAAATGTTAATAATAAGTGTCTGTGTCAAATCCTTACTTGTACAGCTACCGCACCAAGCTTAGTAGCCGTCACGTTTGACAGAGATCCGAGAAACGAGCCCATTGGAGTACGTACAGCACTGACTATTACAACATCATTTAATCTCACCTTAGAACTGTACAAACGCCTGCTTAAGAAATTCATCTAAAGAAAAAAAAAGAAAAAAATTATATTTAAAATACTTCCTGCATGGTTTCAATTAAACTCAGAAACACAAACTTGAAAAAATAGTACTTTTTTTAATTCTAAAAATATGCATTAAAAAGTATAACTCATACTTTGATTAATAAATAATAAATCACTTTATCTGATATACTACTTATTACTACTACAATGCAAAGTAGATTACATGCACAAGTTGCACAATCTGCTTTGTAAATAACACACTTTTTAAAAGGACTAAATTTACATCAAAGAGCACATATAATCTTAAATGTATATATTTCAATTAATTGTAACGTACCTTAGTCAATCTTATTGCCATTCCCATAATAAATAATATTCTATTTATTGATCTGTTTATTGAAAAAGAAATATCCTACTGTGCAGCCGCTATCTCGGTCAGATCTGTCAGCGCAAGATGGTTTCTCTCAATAGGTTAGGTATTATCATATTTCACCTTTGCCCTCTCTACATATGTATATGTATTTACATGTATTTTTTGTGACGTTCCTTGCTCCTACATTTCTCGGAAAGATCATATCTTCATTGCTCCATTTCTCGCTTCTCAAGGTAAATAAATGTATTTTAAAAACTGTTTACGGGTTAAAGTATTCAGGTCTGTTCTTTGTGGTTAAATTTTCTATTCCTGTCTTCTTTCTCCTTCTCTCCAATAGGACATCATACGGCTATAAGAACAAACTTTTTTAAATCTCCATCAAGCGCACAGAGAATTGAGATATTTTTCGATGATTTCCGGAACGCACGAAATATGATAAAAATACAAAACATCTTGCAGCCATTGTCATAATCATAATACATTAACATATTTGAACGTGCGTATTTATGTATGTACATACATATATGCATACATAATTCATCGCATATTCGTAATTTAAATTTTGCATTTTTTTTTTTTAATATCAGTGCGTTCCGAAACTCATCAGAAAAAGACGACTCAAGTTTTTCGCTCACTCGACCTTTCGAGTTTACAAACGTTGTGCGTATCTGTTTTGTGTCGCTCGGGAAGTCCGGGAGTCCGGGGAAGAAGTCTTATCAGACAGAAAAAATTTGATTTTCGCACATTTTAATCTCGTTCGATAGTCGGAGTTACTCGGTCCGCGTTTCCTGCTCGTAGCGTGTTCAACAATTCAGCAAAATTGTTGTAACTCGTTAAAGTTTCAGCGATACCACTCGCCGAGGACGTCGGCGTTGGTCAGCGAGTCGATAATTTGCTGATCGCGCGCGCCCCGTCGATGCCAGGCGACAATCTGATTCCGCGAGGATGAACGTCGAGGAGAAGAGGCTCAGGACGTTCCGCGAGTGGCCGGCGAACGCCGCGATCGATCCGGCGCGACTCGCGAAAGCGGGATTCTACTACACCGGGCACATCCTGGAGGTGCAGTGTTTCCTGTGCGGCACGAGGATATCCGATTGGAACTACGGTGACCAAGCTATGGTACGTCATCGACTGAAGTCGCCCAACTGCCCCTTCGTCCTCGCCCCAACCAGCACCTGCAACGTCCCGTTGATACTGGGGACAGCCGACAATGACAACAATGCCGCTGGGGAATCGACGGCGCATCGCCAATCGCCGCCGGATCCGCAACGTTCCAGCGGTGTCGAGGACGACCCGGACGTACCGCAGAGCCTGACGGATCCCTCGAGGGAGTACGGCACCTTTGCACAAAGGCTACAGTCGTTTAAAACTTGGCCGATTACCAGTATTGTCCATCCGGAGCAGCTGGCCTTGGCAGGATTTTACTATCTTCAAAGCAAAGATGTGGTAAAGGAGTTGCTCTGATATATATTATCGAGATTGTTATAAATTGATTGTGCAGACTTGCTACAAGTTGTCGAGATACTTGCACATTGTAAGGTTCTGTGTATATTATCCAATAATGTTTTACGCTTGCATAACATTTTGTACAAATAACAGGTGGAATGCGCATTTTGCAGAGGGATTCTAATGAATTGGAAACCTGGTGACGATCCGGATTGCGCGCACAGAATGAGTTTTCCAAATTGCGATTTCTATATGAAACGGGACACAGGAGATGGTATATTGTTATCTTAGTAATGCTTGAGACGTATAAATATTCAATTTTGCTTCTCAAACTTATCAACCTTGCATAATGTCAATTACTGACTGTTTTTATTTTGACTTTGTTTTGATAGATCTATTAGGACTGGTCAGAGTCATGCCTGAGGCTATAACGAACATGAAAGAATTAGGAATACAGAAACATAAGGCACCCCAAAGGCCAGAATATGCAACATATGAAAAAAGATTGCAGACCTTCAGGGGATGGTCGAAAAATCTTAACCAAACCCCCGAGATGTTAGCTGAGGCTGGGTTCTATTACAGCGGTTAGAATTATATTTATTTTTTTAAATTGTTAGACTTTATAAGGGGAGCTTTCCAGCAAGCGATACAAGTCGACACAAGTATCGTTTTATCTTTGTTACTCATTACTCATTACCAACAAAGATGAGAGATAGAACAATGTTTGTGTCGACTTGTGTCGCTTGCTGGAAGCTGGGAAAGATGTTCATTCTAGTAATTAATCTTGTGCATTTGGTACTAGGATATGAAGACCAAGTTAGGTGTTTCCATTGCGACGGAGGACTACGAAATTGGCAACCAACGGATGATGTGTGGGTTGAACACGCACGGTGGTTTTCACATTGTGTCTTTGTAAATCTTGTGCGTGGACATGAATTTGTCAGATATTGCATTAATAATAGAACTCCTTTGGATTTTTCGGTAATTATCCTATTCCATCTTCTTTTGCGGTTTTGTGAATTAATTTAAGTGGATAATTGTAATGCTTTATACACATTTTACACTGTATCATTTTTTAAACTTTATTATGTATGTACACAGATTTTTACTGACGTATCGGAAGAAGATAATCCTATAGAATCTTCAGTTGAATCTTTTTCCTCGACTTCACAATCTGGCGAAACAGATATGGTAGCATCTGTGGCTGATGTCGTAGAAGAAACTTTAGTTGCATCTTTTCCCACGGTTTCACAACTTAGAGAACTAGATACAACAGTAGGTACTACAGAAGCACCTTTTTCGACAGTTTTACAACCCAGCGTATCGATAACAAATGCAGCGGTTGAAAAGCTCTTAGAAACAGCTCCAGCCAAGGCAAGTAGAATGATTAAATTTATATACATTATGAGTTACATTGAAATTAGAGAAAATTATGCAATGTTTTTATAATTCAAACTCTATATCAAACAAAGTAGATCTTCGTCAGTGATTTAAAAACATAATTTATATTCCTAATAATAAAGGTTAATTAATTTATATGACTTTAAATATAGGCTGCTCTTGAAATTGGGTTGCACGTAGGCAGAGTAAAGAGAGCTCTAAAGAAAAGAATGGAGAGAATTGGCAAACCGTATACAGATGTTGTACAACTCATACAAGATGTTCTACACGATCAAGTTATGGAAGAGGATAATAGGTATGTGAAACACAGCATGCGGCATGTTGCCTGTGATTGGAAATATAATCGAATCGTTGAGAATCGCGTTTATTTTTCTCTAGGCTCGACAACAGTACTTCTAACTCACCAACCTCGGAATTGAACAACTTATTTAATCAAGTCACTATGCAAATGACTAATAATTCCGCCAATAAAAATAGTACACAGGAATCTGACGCATTCGAAAGCGACCCCGGAAAGAGAACGGATAATGAATCAGATGATCTTAGTAAGTAACAGATAAATAATATCATATATTATTATTTGGTATTATATACGACCTGTGAAATCAATTACATGCCATTTTTCTACGAATCGGTATCAGACACTATCGCGTCTTAAGATGCATCTTTTATGAATGTTATCAGCGCAAACTTATTCCTGGGATTAACTGATATAATTTCTTCATACAATATTTTCTTTTGTTTGAAAGATATCCTGTGTGTAGTTATCCCGCATGCCCTCTACATCAAACGTATACGTAATCTGATCTCTTAGGCTGGTTCTACAATCAGTCGTATGTCGGATGAGGAAAATTCGTCTTTGAAAAAGAAATTCTGTCATTGGATCATCGGCTGCGTTCCGACATCCGACTGATTGTAGAACCGGCTTTAGAAAGAGATGCGACACACATGTATGCCGCATTAAAAATTGTGCGTCGCTTTCTTTCAGTATCTTTGCGAGAGGAAAACAGAAAATTGAAGGAGGCTCGTTTATGCAAAGTTTGTATGGATCACGAACTAGCCGTAGTATTTTTACCTTGTGGACACTTAGCAACGTGCAACAACTGCGCACCGGCCCTTGCGAGCTGTCCGTTATGTAGACTGGGGATTCGTGCTTACGTCCGTATTTTCTTGTCCTAAATTAGATTATACACATAAGCGCCAAACCAAGCGCGATTCATGGTTCGAGATTTATAGTTCGCTATGCGTGTGAGATTTGCATGGGAACAGCGGAACAGTTTTCGATGACATCAAAAGACACGAATCATCATGAGTCAGACAGTTCGTGGTGATGCGCGATTTGTTTATGTATGGAGTTGCACAATACGCACAGTACACCACGAATCCATTATCAGTCGCAAATAATGAATGGCAAATCATGAATCATGAGTCGCGCATAATCCAGCGCTACCTTAAGCTAGGCCTCTGAAAATGTGACGAAAATTGGGTGAGAACCACTAAAAAATCTCGAATTCGAGCCGTTTTTTCATTCAACTTATTTATTTTATGTATTTTACATACAAATATCTTTTAATTATCAATTTTTTTTTTATGAGCAAAGGTAGAACTAAACTGCTAAACTGCTCAGTTTATAACGATCCATTACAAAGTGCTCTTCTTATAGCGACTCTTTTTCTTGTATTAATTTTTTTATTTTGAAAATGACAATAACACTTAACAATGCATATTACGCGACAAGATATTTCATTGGATATATCGTGACTATAAAAGTGGAAAAGTATTAAAAAAAAAAAAAAGCTTGAACAAACCAATAATAGTTGCAATTGATTACATAGGCTTGACACTATCGACCTATAATAATTGTTATCCGTGTTATCGACAGTTTTTACAGATTTACAGATAAGTGCTATCACTATCGTTGTTAACTTCGCAGAATATTACTCTAATATTGTATTAAGATCGTTGGCTCGAAGATATAACTGCTATATTGTTTGCATTAATATCTTCGTACGTTAGATACATCACAATCGAAAGATATAATCCAGTCGATACAAAGTGCCAGTTGACGATATCGTTTATTTAAGTAGAGCTATATTGATGATATACGAGTCGAAGTCTTTCGACGAGACGAAGCTATTGTAATTTAAATGATGTTGCTTAAAACATATTTATCAGGACACGTACAAAAGAGACACAATCTCGCTTAAATGCTGATAGTCCCCACATCGTCGCGTCGCGATAAAGTATGTGGTCTGATAATATATATCGCAGATAAAATGGCCAAAGCTATATAGAAATCAGTGCTGTTGCGTTTGTCGAGGGTGAGTACAAGCAACATAAAGTGATCGAAACGACAGACGATTGTCGATTCGATCATTTTAGAAACAAACAAATCAGAAGTAATATACATAGATATATCCATACTAATTGCTAGTCTTAGCACTGTAAGCTTGAGAGGGCGAACTCGGCCAGGATCGTACCAAAGAAATGAATGAAGAATCAAGTACCTTCGTATTCGTACAATTTCATTTAGAACGCAGGTGCAAGATAGTCGATAGAGATTTAATATAAATGTGATATCGCCAGTGTCTACGAAATGAAAACGTATAATAATTAGCTGTAGATAGGCGAACTGTTATGTAGGATATCGAAGAAAATATTTTATGTACAGTTTTACGATCGCGTGTAGCATTGCAGTCATAGAAATCCGTCGCGTAGTCGATGTCACATGTCGTGTACACACTTTTTAAAATAATAAGAGAATTTCTACACACGTATTTCTTATTGAGTTATTCCCCCTTTTTTTTTCTTTTAAGTGACGTGTTGTCGTTGACCATAGAATTTTATCAAGTCGCATTCCTGGACTTGATTACACCGCGACACTCAAACACGTACTCAGATAACCGCGCCCATTGCAGTTGACGGTTTCCGCTTACATTTCCTTCAATATCACGCGATTCCCGCAATTGGCGTTAACACAAAACGTCCTTTCTCAGTATCAAAGAAGCTCCGAGCGTTAAATTTCTCCGTAAAACCAAATCAGATTTTTCTTTAAAAAAAAATTAACGCTTTACATTTTCTTCAATATTTCCGCAATTGGCGTTGATATATAAAGCATTTCTTCCTAATATTAAAGAAGCTCTGAGCGAAATTTCTCCGCAATAACAAATCAGATTTTCCTTCATTAAAAAAAATAACAGATTTACATTTTACATTTTTAATATCACGTGATTCCCAATTCAAAGAAGCTTCGAGCGTTAAATTTCTTCGCAAAAGCAAAATCGAATTTTTCCCTTTTAGAGAAAAAAAATGTGTTAGAATTTTCACGTCGAATAATTCTTGCGTTGGCCAAAAGTTCGCCACAAATTTAAAAAGTTAATGGCAATAAAACCACCCTTAGTGCGGCCCTAGTTTCCCAGCACCTATTCGTAGGGCCTCCCAACAGTTCCTACCAGTTCCTACGAATAGTATGTAAGTCCGCAACCAATATGTTCTCCCTTCCCTGATTCCTCTATCCCGCCCTCGCCCTTCGGTGGAGCTGCCCCGCGCCGGGCCGGGCGTGCAGGCCATGTCCGGTGGTTGTCGTTGTCCGGGTCCGCACGCCGTGCAAGATATTGGCCGATGGAATGGACGGGCGGCCCGGCCGCCAGCGGTAAGCGGCGCCTGTGGTAGCCGGGTAAGGCGGTATGCTTTGATTGCTTTGTTGCTCGGGTACGGTTTTACTCATTTCTTACTGACAAGTTTAGTCAACTACTCGATGAGGACAGCCCTAGACCTAGCCTCCTAGACAGCCCCGACTGTTTTCAGGTTTCCACGTGCCGGGATTGGAAATTGTCCCTCCCTTCCCCGTTTCCCGCGTCGCGCTCCCTATCTCTCTTTCTCTCTCGCTCTCTCTCTCTCTCCCTCCCCTTTCCCTTTGTTCCGAACGCGAGATTCGGCGGCGACGGCGTCCCGGCCTCCCGGCACTTCTTTTCGGATTGCTCCCCGCGCGTCAGTCACGATCGTTGCTTCGCGGCACGTCAAATCGAGTCGAGACCGAGACACGGGCCTCGTTGTTCCGACACTTCCGACCAGCTGAGTGAGGAACTGCGAATGGAACCGGATCTTCGTAGATAACGGGTAGCCGCGGGTAGACCTGGAAGACCGGGGTGACGGAACACGCCGGTACCTTTGGGGGAGTTCCGACGTTTTCCAGCGAGGGCGATCACCGAATCGCGAAAGGAGGAGGAGAGGAGCGGCGACGACGCGCGGCTCAGCGGTAAGTCGGCGATGGCGAATGCGGGAGAAAAGGTTGTCGCGATAGATAAGATTGCTCTCCCAGCCTCCTCTCCTAATCCCCCGTTTTTCCTCCGTTATCGTCCACGATGTCCTCGTGTCAACGCCGATAAACCCCATCGTGAAATTTCGCGAAGAATCGGTCTCCCGTCGGTCTCGGTCGGTCTCTCTTTCTGTCTCCGTGACACTTTGTGCCGCCTGAGGCACATTAACTACTTTTTTTCTCATTTCCGCTCGTAAACTGAGAACGGTTCAAGCGCGTTTGTGAATTGTCAGAGGAAGACGCGTGAATAATTCGTGAAAAACACGCATAGACCGCCTCGGAACACTGGCGCCGTGCCTTTCTTCTTTCGTATACAAAGACGCAGCTTGGTATCATACATGCAGACTCTTCTAGTTTTTCCTTACTGTTGTCTTCCCCCTTCCCCTTGCCATTGGTAGCTCAGATCGCCGTCAGAAGTCCTCATTCTGTCTGTCTCGCACATTCTGTCCTTTTTTTCTCTCTCTCTCTCTCTCTCTCTCTCTCTCTCTCGTTTACCACACTTCTCTCTTGCCGTGTGGCAAATTTTCGTCGCGGTGAGATCATTCTGAGATCATCGTGGCACGTGATCCCTACTACGATTCAAAGGGAAGCAGATGTGAGAGGTTTTAGCGGAATGTCGGAGCAGCAGCTGGCTGCCCGAAGGGCGATCGATCCGAAATCCGAAGGGCCCGTGAGCTGGGGGATCTCGGCTGCAGATACCTAGTTCTTAAGGACATTGAAGTACACATGTACCGAAGTATACATGCACATGTGTACTTCGATCGAATGTAGCCTTAGGGCCAAAGCACATATAACAGTCGTAGTCGTGGACGTAAGTAACGCACAAGCTTTGGCGTATCCTGATCTGTCAGGTCGAGGACTACGACCGTCGTATATCGCTACGCCATGTTATGTGCTTTGACCCTTAGTCACACCCGTTTAACCAAAAAAAAAAAGTATAACGAACGTAATCAGTTCTCATAGCTTTTTTAATGCTGAATGTGTGATCTCATTTACCAAATTGTTTTACCACAATTTAGAGAAATTTGCGATTAAAGTTGTAAAGAAAGAGCTATTAATGTATTTTGTCAATTATAATATGTAATGTTGGAAAAATTTTATTGCAGTCAAAATGAAGTACGTTAAAAGTTGTTACAACTTTCTGCCCTTAAAAGAAGTTTTTCGTAGCGATTATAATTAAAGAGATTGTTTATGATTAATACAGAGTCTATTTGCGTCAAAGTTGCGACTTACATATACCTACTATTAAGAATCTACCAAGTATTTTTTAAATTATGTTAATAATTACCAGATCAATATCCAACGATCTGGAAAACCTTTAAGTTTGAATATTTGAAAAGGTCTGGCAGATTCTTAATGGTTTATGTAAGTCGCAACTTTGACGCAAACCTTACATTAATCATAAATATTTTCTTAACACTGCACGGACGCTGTTTTTGGAACACTCACCCGGATATATCCTGCCAATCCTTTGTTAAGTTCAAAGGGTTTTTCTGTGTTACAAAGAAATCTATAAAAATTCATGTATCATCTTTAAGGTTTCAAAAAAGTGATTTCTATATCTACATAGGCCGGAACTATTCCATTTCTTTTTTAAAAGCGCTGAAGCCCGGTGGGAATCAAAAATGAAAAATCGACTGTGTGTGCCTTAAAAGATCCACGGTATTCGCGCGGTGTTAATTATAATCGACATACAGTTTTTTTTTAAGACTAAAGCATACTCAATTTTGATTTCAATATCATTTCTCCAACATTACATGTTATAATTGTGGCAAAATAAATTAATATAGTTGATATTAATTAATATAATATATGATATAATGTTATATGTTATAATTAGAATTAATATAGCCTTTTTTGCAACTTTAAGTGCAACGTTCTCAAAATTGTAACGCGATAGAGCAACTTAAACGTTCAACGCCGAAAAAAAAAAACTGTAGGAAACGATTAGTCTCGTTTTTGTGCTCCAAAAAGAGGCATTTTTTTGTTATCTCGGAGACGTCGCGTCGTCGCGGCAGTTGCAATAACGTTAACGAGAAAATCCTATCGGTACCGTATCTTATCTTAACAATGTTTTTTTCAATGTTTTACCTGAAGTATCGGTAAAGGTCATTTGGCTCATCAACCTCAGGCATCATCAGTTGTTGGGCTCGTTCTATCGCATCTATGACTCCCTAGCGACAGCGATTGTTAAAAAGTCATCTGATAGGACGAGCACGCCAACTCGAGTGGACGTTTTATTTATTTATTTTTTTCCGATAATTGGAATTTATCAATGATACGCCTTTATAGATAACGATAATCTCGAGCTTTTATGGAAAATTTGTCCACCAAGTTTCAAGCATGACCTACGAAATTACTGGAAGATTATGAAATTCCGACATGAGATTTCACGGTTAATCTTTCCATTATTGAAAAAAAAAAAAATAGAATAAAGCAGCGAACGCTTATCTTAATAAAAACTTCACTTCAATTGCAGCTTTAATGCTACCTTTTGTATACAAGGAATTAATTGTCAATTATTAATTATTATCTATGTATTAGGTTCTCTTAAATATATACAAATTTTTCAGTTAGATTTAAATTAATTATAATAATTAATAATTATATAATATTATTATTTTTTATTTATTTATTTATTATCTATATTAGACCCTCTGTATTTCTCAATCTAATTTGCATACAGAGGACTAATATTGCCTTAGAAACGACGAGAAGTAAGTTAAGTAAGTTCGGGTCTTTAAAAAATTCCATGTAATATTACATAATTCGTCGTAGGATTCAGCGCTATTAATAGTGCGTTACAAATGGGTTTCCGCTTATATTGCACAACAGCGGTTTCAGAACGCCGCGTTCGCTTCCGGATCCTCTTATCTTTTCCATGACGCTCTTCATTGATAATCCTTCCTAGTATTATTAAGAACTTGTGCATTCCTGAAAATATAAGGCGGGTAAATACTTATATTTAATCGCGTAATAATTTATTTGCCGCAGTAACGAAGTGGACGTTCGTGAGTGAAATTGTCTCTGCCGATTCGAAACGCGTTTTTAACGCTTTCAACGATGACTTTCGGATGAAAACGTGAAGATATACTTAAATGCTGAACGACAGCTTTATGCGAGCGTACGTTCATCTATTTATCTCGATCCCTTCAAGTTATTTCGCTCAATGTCAACACGCTTTTCCATCACCCCGTGGGTGGTAATATCTCGAAAGGAAAAATCCCAGCGTTGAGATAGATGCGCGGTGGTGTTTCCAGGCTGGGGCATTGCGTGCGTGCATGCGTGTCGAGACTGTCGAGGCTGTGGAATGCGTTTTTTTGTAAAAGGGAGAGAGAGAGAGAGAGAGAGAGATACAGAGCGAGAGATCGGAGTCGGTAAAGGGCAATTCAGACGGGACGAATATTTACTTTACTCACGTCCCTCACGCCTACAGTCAAATAGATTTGCCTCTTCTCAATCCCATCATTCATACAATTCTTAATAGCTCCGTGATCGTGCTTCAAATTCCACGATAATCTCTTACCTTTTTTTTGGAGAGCGAAAGATCTTACTTGTTTCTCTCTCTTTTATCTACCTTTTCTATCTTAGTAGGTTCTCACGCATGCTATTCCCAAATGACAATGAGAAAGGAATGTCGGTACCGCCAACACATAGCGTGACTCATAAATTGACATAAAATAGGGTTTCGCAAAAACGCAGGCTACCCGTACCGAGGAATTTGTACCATAAGTCACGTTTTGCCTTTTTTTCCCCCGCAGATTTTTGCGCAAGCAGACGTTGCGCCCGAGGAAAATGATGGAACTGGATCGAATCGGACACAAGGATTGGGACAAGAAGAAGCCATATGACGTACCGACTTTGACCGCGAAATCAACGGTGCCTGACGATGTGGACTACACGGATTATCGATTTGAGAGCGCGAGGTTGGATTCCTTCGGCGATTGGCCCGTGCCGTTCGTCGATCCCAAGAAGCTGGCGGCCGCTGGCTTTTTCTATACCAAACAGAACGATGCGGTAAAGTGCTTTATGTGCTCGATCGTCCTGTCCGGATGGGTAGACGGCGACGACCCAATGGCGGAACACCAACGTTGGTCCGGAAGATGCCGATTCGTCCGTAGTCTCCCTTGCGGAAATGTGCCAATCGATGCCGATCCCAGCACGATCCCCAAAATGCCCAAATGTTTAGACACCTGCGGGCTTTACGGCGTCAAGTATATGCCTTATTCTAGTTCAGACACCGATCCGTCGACGGAGGAAACCATGAAGCCCGAGATCAACGAGGACATCGAAATCACCGTCTTCTGGGATTCCACCACGAACGCGAATTTCACGGCCAAGCTCGGCGACGTGTTAGGTTCGAAGCAGCCCACATACGCTTCCTACGAGCGGAGATTACACTCCTTCGCCACGTGGCCCGATACGGTGTGCCAAAGAAAAGAGGACCTGGCGGCCGCCGGTTTCTTCTACCTCAGCGGCCTTTACGAACACTCCGATGAAACGATGTGTTTCTACTGCGGGGGATGCTTGAAGAACTGGGAACCGACTGACAATCCTGTGGAGGAGCACGTCAAGTGGTTTCCCGAATGCAGGTTTATCAAAAAGGTAATAGCGGAGAAACAGTTGAAGAAGAAAGACGACTCGTGCACATCATCCACGGAACAGACGGACCACGACACCTGCATCGAGATTGAGAAAGGGACGACTGTAACGTGCGATTACATTTGTTAGTGTTTGAAACGATAAGCAAACCATTCTCTTTTTAAATCCGACTGAAACAAATAATAAGACTGTATTACAATAGCAGAGAAGCATGGCGCGTATCTACCATGCGATTATTTCGCCGTATGTACAGATAGTGACCTCACGCATGCGAAATTTTGTACGTCCGCGTGTTAGACAATATGTTCGAGAGCCATGTTGTTTTATCAGTCTCTATCGTAATAAAAGATCCGTTTTTTGTTGAACTGGCTGCGCTAGGCTCAGAGTTTATCTTTTTCCTTCCAATGTGAAGTAAAAAAGAAAATAACGTCTGAACTAGTGCAGCCAGTTCAGCGATAGAAAATCGATTCAAAGATACATTTAGGCGTGTACAGTTGTTCGGTATGCATGAGAGCGGTTCACAACGATCTAATTTAATAATTGACGCGAATGACATGACTCATTAACGCATCAATTTGATATATTTACACATTGTAACATGGACGAAACTTTCGTTGTAATTTTTAACGTAATAAATGTGCACTTAAGTTTATTTAAGTACTTATTCAAATCATCGTGAGGTATGTGTGATAAATTTTATCGGTCGACTATATTATCAATTGCTGATCAGTATTATAGCGAATAGTGTTATATAATGTATAGTGCAAACATAATACCTCATAGTGTATCATATTACAAATTAATTGCACTATTATGAAAAATTGACGCGGATTATCAAAATATAAATTTTATAAAGAAGGAATGTAATTGAACGTTTTTAAATTTATATTATCTCGACCTTTCAGTCAATATCATTTTTTACTTGCATAGATTACGCATTGACAGATTTATTTACGATTAGATAGCTGATTTATAATTACCACGTATTATTTGTGAAACGCAACCTATTTATTTTCCTTCTCGAAAAAGATGAGAATAAAAATAAGTTGAAGATCGAATTAAAGATAACGGTTTCGAGATATAAATAAGAGGCAAATATAAGATCAAGATAGGAATTAAAATAGCAATGTTTATCTAGACCGTCATTTACCTTTCAGTTAATTCATGAAATAGCACGAGCGAGTATTTAGAATTCCTTCAAGAAAATCCAAAGCACGCATTCTGTTAGAAATGCATAAGGAATGGTAGTTATACGTTGTATATATATATATATATACATATATAAGAATCGCTATAAGAAACGGCAGTTGTACGTAATTTTATCGTATATTTTAAGATCGATATGTGAATGAGTGATTACGATTGTGAACTCTACGATAAACGCAAGCAGATAACGTAATTGTTCGATGGATTGTCAATTATTAAATCGTACGAAACGAATATATTATAGAGACTTTTTAGTGTATACTGCTCCAAAAGGTTTTCTTTCTCGATTAACATACGATTCTGAGTCTTCATTCCGGAGACGAAAGATTTATAAAAATATATTGCAGAAACGAACGCGCTTAACTACGCCTTAATTTAGTGCGAGTCACACCAGGATCGAAATAGGATAATTTATGCCCGTACGACATACCACAGTGTATGATGTCATCGTTTGTTAATGCAACGTAACGCCGTGATGATACATCGCGCATTAACTTTGCGCTGAATTTTGTAAACAGATACAAGTATACTAGTCATAATACATTCACAGTATAGATACAATTATACAGATATTGCATTTAATACGCAGAAGTATGACAAATAATGACGTAAAAGATTGCATCATTTCCTGTGTAGCAAACCGAAATAAAATACATTGTTGCTCCATGAGTTGCTTTAACATCAATGCTGTAATTTGCATGTAACACGCATGAGATTAACCTATCGAAAACCGCGATTTTTTCACGGAATTCTATTCTCTCTGTTATCTTCTATCGGAGATGTGATCCACGTTGTAATAATATACTAAATATATAAATAATACAATACAATAATAATACACTAAATCAATCAATAGTTTTTTAATCTGTAAAACATTTAGAATTATCAAAATATTTTGTTACAATCACTGTCATCTGTATTTGCAAATAACAGGGAATAACTTACACTTAATCGCATTGCGTTTTCTTTCGTAAATATATTTTCCAGGAAAGATATAGAAAGGTGCATTGTCATAATACTTATAAGTTCTAGCTGTACCCTCTAGAAACTCCGAGAAAATGTTTTTGAAACATACTGAGATTGGTTTTCTCTCCGCGGGCCCGAGAGAGAATAAAAAATCGAGTCGACAATAGTGGGTAGAATACGATATTTTAAATATCTCGTAGTTCGGTACAATTTAGTTTGTTACATGCACGGTGTATCCCAGATTGTAAAAAATGTTAATAATACTTAAATCTTTTAATACTTTCGTCTCAGAACGTTCGGGAAATGCTACGTAAGTGTTTTTAAGATACATATAAAGGCTAACAATTTCTTCAATTTAAGATCGTTAAGGAGCTAATGCCGCTTAATTCCTCTACATTACAAGGTCGATTTATTGAGAGAATTCAGACCTGTTTATATTACGTTCGACGCGTTACGATCGCGGCGCGGAAATCCATGTAAACAAGTTCATGAATGATATGGATAACGAATTGCTCATGCGTGAAAAAGCGTTAAAGAATGAGACTACACTTTCTTCTTGCTTGCAGTTTCGATCTTTCTCGAAGCGGAAATTTCTGTGTAATTGTCGTAGAAATTCCCACCGTATATGTGTAAAAACTTTCTTAAAATAATGTAAAACGAACCCTGAATAACCCGACTAACTTGAACCCTCCCTTTTACCAGTGAGATCGGCGCCACTATAGTTAAAAAGGGGGACCTTGGCATATTTTGGAAGGACCCTCTTTTTTCCCGAAAATACAAGTCCGAAGGGGAACGTTTGCTTCTCAGACTCCGCCTTTGAAGGGTCTTATTCCTAACTGCATGCCTTTGCTCTAGCAGAAGGAATGCAAGAGGAGCGTGTTATATGTCCTGCATCGGCTAAGTCTTCACATTTCTCTAACACAGTTTGCCCAGTGTACATAATGAAAACGCTTCATTCATAGCTAGAAATTTTAAATACGGACGGATTTATGTTATATATGCTATAGATTGCTATTTCTATTCGAGATTTATTTAAATCAACGACACAAATGTTGGATTGGCCGCGGCGGAACAGTATCTTGACCCCCAAGATCACTCGGACTTAACTACGCTCGACTATAGCAAAATCCGTTAGTCGAGACATAATTACAGTAAAATAATTTTTTACGTATTTATATATCGTAAAATAATTTTATTTTCGTACGATTTTCGGGGCAATAGAAGAAAAAGTAGTCCGAAAACGATAAAAATTGTAAAACAAGCTGGGATATCTATTGGACCGATTTAAGCGTCAGCGTCGAACGTGCCAAGGATATGAGGAGATTTCAAAGGGTCAATCATTTCCCCGGGATGACGGAGACATGTAGGAAGGATCTACTTACTCGCTCGTAATCTCAATCGCATGCAGAAGCTGTTCCCGAAGGACTACAACTTTTTTCCGAAAAGGAAGTAAGAGGAGAGATCCGTGCCCATAGCTATTATACTTCTCTCTTTTTCAACAATAAGTCATTCAACACAAAAGATCAAAGAAAAATCTCTTGCCGCATGCTCCATCCAGTACTATATATGTCGATGGTCTCGACATATGCTCTATATACGAATATAAATATACATATATATATATATATATATATATATATTTTTTTTTTTATAATAAGTAACATTCATAAAAACTATAGAGAGGTTTCATACAGATCTCTCTATAGTTTTTATGAATATTACTCATTATAAATATAAAATACATTTTATTCAAGTTATATTAATGTTTAAATGTTATCATTACCTAGATAGAACAGAAAATTATAATGATATTAAAATAACGAGAAAACGATTGAATCGTGATAGAAAAGTTAGTTTTTATAATCATTTTTTTCATCATTTTTGGACACGTCACTGTAGTTTTCCGTTCTGTCAGAAAAAAGAGCCCCTTCTAAAATAGTATTAGCGTCAGGCCTCGGAAAGTTACCATCCGTCCCTCATTCGTAACGCTCGTATGACGTTATGGGTGCATTCGTTTACGCATCCGAGTGCTAAAAGTCCTACAGCATGTGTCACGTGCACTATAGATTTTCAGCGCTCGGGTGATGTTTCTGTACGCAGCCCTACGTGAAAGAATGCACTCTATTTGAGCGATGAATGAATCGTTTAAATGTCGACCGCTAGACGTTCTCGCTTTCGGATTCGCGTTCGCTAGGCGCTGGGCGCTACGGTAATTCGTACGTGCATGAAGAAATACATATTATATGTAATAAATACGTTTTATCGTAGCTGACGTGATGTGTTTTAAGAAATAAGATCTCGGGCAACGACACGCATGTGATTCGCAAGCGAATCGCTATTAGTGGCCTTTGACCGATTAAGTCGGTGATTCTTCTCGGAAACGGAGTAACGGATATGACACGATTCATCGGGAGGAACACTCACGTTATTTTATACTTCAGAGCTCACGGATATCTCATCTTCACTACACATATTTATGCACACGTGTGTGTATATGTGCGCGCGCGCGTGAGAACTGCGCTATGGAAAATTTTAATTCTTAAAACACATTTGTTAGCTATAATGTATTTATTATTAATTATTTTCTACCGATATGCAAAAGCTTTATTTAGACAGCGAAATAATACGAAATGTACTTTTTGTATTACGATAATATTAAGGTACATCTTCGTTATAGAGAGACGAGCAAATTTTATGTAGATATGATGACGCAGAGATATGATGACGAGGCTTAGAGTTTAATTTTTTTTCTAGTGTCCTCCGAATTAACACATGGCGCAGTTATATAAAGAGCGCCTTCCGAGAATTCATAATCATTCGCGATTGCGTGTCACAGCGTTAAATGCGCAGAAATTTGGGTGGGCGTATATTTAGATAGATAGATTAAGCGGACGCGATAAATTTCGAAAACGTCATGCCGCTTGACTCTATTAAGTGATACACGTGATAAGATAGATCCTTTTGTAAGCCATTAATTCCCGCAAACTGTATAACCTGCGATACATATGTGCGCGATCGTACGCAGAAATCCTTTAAAACGCTCTCAAGGAGAGAAGAAGAAGAGAGAGAGAAAGAAAGAAAGAGAGAGAGAGAGAGAGAGAGAGAGGAAGGGAATGAGAAAGCGCAAATGACGCATTTTTGAAACAACACGGGCGGATGTTCAGGCAAAACCAGGCAACACCGGAAATGTCTAATGCGAAACATCCTTCCGCAAGGCAAAACGTCCATACAATTTTTCCGTCTTGTGAAATCTCGTCTAAAAACACGTCTCAGGTGACTTTTCTTTTAATCCGTCTTGTTAGTTATGTGAAAATGTGTCACGTTTCCCATAGGAAGGCGGCTAAAAAGAATATAGGACCTACCACAGTCGACCACACAGCGGGGGCCGCGGGGATGCGCTCGATAAAATTGCCCTTCTACTTATTCGTCAAAGGTCGCTCAAGGGCGAAAAAGATTCGCATCTCATTATTGTCAGACAGAACGCAAGAAAGATGACGATTTTTAGACCATTTTGCCATCATTTTGACTCTATCGTGACTTTCCGTTCTACTTTATAGGGCATTTCTCTCGCTCTCTCTTTCTCTTTGCTGCTTGTTGTGAACGTGTAGTCGCGACCGAGTGGCAGCCGCGCTCATTATCGTGGAATTTCACCGCGCGAGCGGCGAGTCTCGGCCGCGTATCGGAATATACCGAGTGAAATCAGGCGACCTTTCGCTGGCGGCTCCCCTCACTGAAATATATATCTATATACTAACTTCTATAGCGACGTACGCCGCTATAGAAATTTACGGTATGTGAGAGCGTTACGAGAGAGGAGTCCCAAGTTCCTCTTTTATCCTTGTCTATCTCACAGCGTAGTGGAGTGGATATGGGGAGGATTGAACAGTACAGGTCGTCGATCAAGATCAGACAAGGACAGAGCGATGCTCGAGACACCTTGGAATGTTCTCTTTCACATCGCACTGATAGGCTTATAGCGTTGTTATATTTCCCGCCGCCTCGTCTCGCATTGCTCGTGTTGGCGCGCGTGAGCGAATGTGAGTGAATGTCAGTATAGTTATAGTTAACAAAGCCAGGGTACCTATTCTTGAAATTATTATTCATGAAACGAATTCAAGAATAGCTACCCAGACCCGACGGGCGCCGCGTCGGACGCCGGACGGCCGGACCCGGCTGGACGCTGGACCGTAGTCGGTTCATCAGTGCCGTAACTTCTCGCTGGCGCGCCACGATGAATAGAGACATAGAGACATTCCTTCTAATCCCTGTCCTTTAAATCCCTTCCAGGGATCAAAGATAATATCATTTTAGTTATTCATTTTCGACATTCACGCCTCCAGAAATTTCCAGAAATCTCCAAGGCAGCTTTCCAGGAATGCGACGTTTGAGAGCATGAGTCAGATTTTTGGTGTCTGTCACAAACTATGATTTTTTGGAGGAGGGAAATAAAAAATCTTATTTTACACTTTGATGAGGAATAAATGTAACCAAGTGGCATAAACGTGTCGTTATAAAAATGGCGTCGGGGGACAGAGTTGCCTAATTACACAGTGGCAGTCAACGTGTTAAGGTTAAGATATCGTTGCGTATCACCCTTCTGTGAACGAGTTTCGCATAGCAACTGGAGTTGCGGCAAAGTCCCCTCAAGGTATAAAATTATAAGTCATGTCGAGAGCAAAACTTGAGGTAAAATCAAACTAGACTCTAAAGAACGAGTAAAAATTCGTCAATTCTACCCGCAGTCGATATATCAAGATGCGCGATAAAAAGTTTGTCGTATATTTCATACATATGCTTCATAGATATTAAAAACAAAAGTAAAATAATGCATATATATTTGCGAAAATCATGGGCAGAGGGAAGAAGGGTAAGGAATGTAAGAAGGGTAAAAATTTCTTTCCGTGGGAACGCGAGGTGCAAGAGCCTTTATCCGGTTCAGCCACGTCCCCCGGCTCCCCACGTCGCTCGCGGCTGAAGGCAGCAGAGGCAGCAACGGACAACGATGAAGCGGCGGAAGAGAATGCAGAATGCAGATGGAAGGGGGGCTGAGAATGTATAGAAACCACGGTTGTACGTTACTGCGGCGCCGTAACTGCGCACAGACGGGTTCCGTGAGATTCCCCAGCATATTCCCTAATCCCCCTACCGAGGTGGAAGGCACTGGAAGGCACTGGAGGGGAATGGAATATTGGAATATATCTCTTTTGCCACCGCCGCGCCGTCAGCGCCGTGGCATCGCGTCGACTCGTTGCGGCGCGGCGTGGCGTACGTTGGCCTCGAACGGAGAAGGGAGACTCGGGAGAGAGAGAAGCCGTCTCGGCCATTGCTGTGTTCCTACGCTCCATTCTATAGTATAGTACGATTGTACGCGCCTGTAGTATACGGACCGCGGCTTTGTGAAACTCCACGGAACCGAGTAGCGCGAGTTGCGAGCGATCGTGACGTCCGAGCATACGTGAAGTGTCGTACGCGTTCCGCTGTGTTTGTAACCGTGCGCGAAGCCTCGTTATCCTCGCGGGCGAACGAGCAGCGAAACGTCGAACGCGAAACGTAAACCCGCTCGATACTTACAACGCAACGTTCGCGACACACAGTCGCGAAACGAAACGGCATAACCGAGGTAGAGAGCCGATCGACGGAACAAAGCCGTGCGTGGCGGAGCCAGCTGCGCGGAAAGGCCAAAGCAAGCGTCGCCGCTCACAGCAATCCGGTCGTCCAAAATCGATTCGGGTACGTTTCTTCTGCCTCACGCACCACCTCGCGCGTCGCACTTTCCTCAATAAATCTTTCCTTGTGTAAGAAACGCCAGAGAGATTTTCTATTTTTTTCCCCCCTTCCTGTCGCGTATCTCCTCTTACCATCTGTCCGGATGCTCGCCCGACGGCCTGGCGCTTTCACGCGAGCGTAGCGGGGTCACGTATTGTTCACATGCGAGGCTAAAACAGGCTGAAATATTTAAAATAGCGTGGATTCGATAAGAGCAGTTGACCGCAAATAACTGATAAACGCTTGAAAATACGATTCGCCCTGTTTGTTTACTACATCCTTTCCTCCGTCTGCCGCTCCCCTCCCCTCCCCCTCTTTATCGGCACCTTTTGACGCAGTGTGTTCCGCGGCGTCGTTTATTATCTAACATTGTTGGGCGGGTCCTGCGTTAGCGGAAAGCATGGCGATGTAACCAGCGGGGGGGGGGGGGGGGCAAATAATTCGTAAATAAAAAAAGAAAGGGAAAAAAATGGTAATCGGCGTTAAAGGGATCTTTAGAGAGAGTAGCGGGGAGAACTTGAAACAAGTTAAATGTTTTGCTCTTTGTATACGTCAACATCCCCTTGGAATCAGATCTGAAAATAATTGTTTTTTTTTTACCATAAGATTCTTGATCGACAGAGTTCGCGAAAAATAAGAGACTTCAAAATTATTTGTACTACGATTGACCTTTAAAACGAATTTTTTGCAAACAGGATGCGAAATCAACTTATGTTGAAAGAGTCGTAAAATGTCAGGCACTGCCGAAACCATCTGGCGAGCAAAGAATTTTATGAAAGAGAAAAGGAAACTTGAAACTCGGATCACGCATGTCGGTCTTTGTTGCTATTCTACGCTATATTTTTCGCACTTAAAATGAGATAGATGATACTTATGCGGTGTCTCGGAAAAACTGGTGGTAGAAGCGAGAAGGATGATTCCACATGAGAAAATAAGTCGAAAATGTAGAATCAAATTTTTTTTTATATCCGGATAGCCAAATCTGTCGAGAACAGATTTTGAAAGCGTCTGCTACAAATTTTGCAAATTCAAAAATTCAGCTATTACAAAACAAACTGTCGATTTATTAAATTTATCGTATATAATGTACACTTGATTTATATCGATAAGTAATCAGATGTAAGAATTAATTAATAGCTGATAACTAATTAATATGTTATTTCTTATATCAGATTCTAAAAAAAAAAAAAAAAATCATTAAAAATGAACGCTAAAATGAAAATCACAGCACTACAAATTTCTAATATAAAGTATAAAAAATTGTACGTTGTCACATGTGCATTTCTTATCTTTCTCTCTTCGTTCCTCCTCTTCCCCCCTCCGAGGGGGAGGGCCCCACTCTGTCTGCTGTCTGTCTCTTACAAAAGGCGTTTTGACGAATTATGAGGGCATTTACCTGTCTCCTTTGTGACTCATTCCCAAAATTTCGGCAACTTGATTTGGCTGTCCGAGAGATTTAAACCTTTCGCGTTGAAGGGCCCAAACACCGAACAGAACCTTTCGACGCGAAAGGTCAATACGCAATGGGTTGTGGCGACAGAGTAGGTTCTCGAACTGAGGCGCGACAAGTTCTGGCAAGTCTGATTCCGGGCCCTTGCCATCAGTAATGCCAGATGGAAGACTGAAACAGCACTCCCTACTGTTACTGATAGCTGGCATGTTGTCCGGTCTGCCGTCTGGCATCCCTGGCGTCCTTACAGTTCAGACCTGCGGCCATGTATTTTGATTTCCAAAAAAGCCTCTTCAGACACTATAATACCCGCGCTTCTGAATCGAGCTACGATTTCATTCTGGTGTTTTTTTTTTCCGAGACGAGATAAGATTAATAATCACGCTCGAGTTGTGTGTGTGACTTTCGATAAGCTTGTTTGTCATTGCAGAGAATATTTAACAAAAGATAGTGGTATCTAAGTAGCGTCTAGATCATTCATTTCTATGTCTTCAACGCGGGAGGTCCGTGCTGGATTTCATTAATGTCTATCTAGCTGATCATAGTCAACCGAATTGAGGACTTGTGTGCGGTTTTTTTTTTTTTTAGTCGAATCCATTCCGAAGTAAAGATGAAAAATGAACATACGTTAACACGCCTCGTTTCCCGTATATCTCGAGTCTTTCGGATATTTTTTTATATGAAATTGGACTGAGCGCCAACGACGACAGCTCCTCGCGACCGACGTTGGCGAAATCGGTTGTCGGACGGCCTTTTGATTGTACGCTTCCGTCGCGCCTTGTTGCCAGCTCTCTCGCGGCCGGGAATAATAAAGAAGACTCGAGAGTCCAAAGGAAACGGAGCGCTGCGCGCTGATGTCATTTTGTAATTCTCCGGCCGATAAGTGTATCTCCCGCGTGTAGCATGCGTGAGCTTGCACTTCGACCGTCTCAATGCGTCATTTGGCAATACAGGAGATGTCATTGCAAAACGTACGAACACGGGCTTTGTAGCATTTAATTCTCAGCTTGATCCGCGGATTGATTTTCGCCACGGCTGACTCGAGTCGCGATTAGCGAGAACGCGGCGATATGCGAGGAAACTTTTGTTGAGAAAACATGGAGCTCCTGGTGAATAAAGCCTTAAAGCCCGGTGTCCACGATGCAAGAACTGTGTCCAAGTTTCGGTTTAAGTCAATGAAACTGCTACTTTTCTGCAAGAGCTGCAAGTTGATTGACTTAAACCGAAACTTGGACACAGTTCTTGCATCGTGGACATCGGGCTTTAAGATGGCTGGCTCAATAACAAATAATCTTGGTTGCAGTCGATTCGAAGCGCTCGAATTAGTCTTGATCGTGAGATACCGAGGATAAGAAAGAAATCTCCGCGCAGGTGTCTAATCGAATCTTAGCCAAGAGATAATCAAGATCGTTTCAGATTAGGACTGCGTCGATAGTTTCGTAACACCCTGTATATCGCGACGGTGTTGTCTCGATTTTTCGGGCGGCGTCCCCTATCTGAGCACGCGGCGTGCCGCGCCTTGACGTCAACAAATAAGGAGAGAAAAGACGCCGTTCCCCTGGAGCGGCGGGACGCGGTGGGCGACGAACGAAGGTTAAGCTGCGGCAGAGTCAGCTATGCAGCAGATGACTCGGTTTTCACGGTATCACTGCCGTCGCGTCGTCGTGACCGAGGCGTTTCCTCTTTAACGAGACGCTGTCGCTAGCCATGCGAAGTTAGCAAGCAGCGAACGTGGCGATCTCGAATACACACGGCCGTAGCAACTTTCCACGAGACCCGACGGACTCTCGCCGATGAGAGAGACATTTCCCGTTGCGACGTCTCGTCGCAGGCTGAACTTATTCCTCGTAAATAAATACCCCGGATTGTCGATATTTTTCAACAGTTCTGAGAATTCTTAAATATTTTTAACTTCGAACTTTCGTTAAGTATTTCATTATTTTTGAGAAAATATCCTCTCATTTCGCCGGAGCTCTGTGATAAATTCAGAGAGATTTCTTTATCACCGCTTCACGAGGAATCCGGGCCTCGACGAAGTGGAGCGAAGATGAACGGGGGGGCACACACGTTGCCAGGCGCTCCTACCGTTACAATTCACTCCGCCGCCCGGGTATACGCGTCGCGTTCCCGTGTAATGTAATAAGACGAACAGAAATAGAGGCCGTGCAACGGCAACGTTGCATATACCCGGTGTCGCAGCTGACAGCTGTGCTCTTTCTGAAGCGCGTTGGTAGTTTCTCGGGGAAGTCGAATTTCTTGTCGATGTACAGCAACACGGCTTCGTGGGTAGATCTACAAATATGTACACGCGAAGTCATAAAAATGTTTTTTAACGTATGAATTTGCACGCATATCGGAGGCATATTTGGTGTACCCTCAGTCCGAATGTTTGCGCGTCATGACTGTTGGTTATTCGAAAAATTTGTTACATTATTTATTTTTATTAATTATATACTTGTATTATTCATTACTTTTGTTATTTATCATTATTATTAATCCTACGTTACTCGTATACGGTGTAAAATACATTCCAGCCTAAGAAATCTACAACATTCACCGAGTAAAACTTTTTTATCGATCGAGAGCCGTACAAACTGTCTCGCAATTAAAGAACATTTGCTAATTTTCATCTAAAAGATATATAGAATGTTATCAATTAAATTCTAAATTGAATTGTATCTAAATGTAAATCATCGAAGAAAATAATGAAAATTGAGATGCAATGTTTGAGGTGTAAAATACATTCCACGCGTGTGTAATTATATTTAAAAAAAAAATCACGAGTAATGTAATATTAATTACACTTGTATTATTCATTATTGTTAAATTATTATTATTTATTTTATTGTCATTATTCGCCCAACTGCGAAATATCACCTCCATCCTGCTTCGGGACAGCGTTGCCGTTTCTCGAGTGATCAACGGTCATGATGCGTGAATATTTAGACAGGCACATTCCCAAGGCATTTATATCTGCACGCTTTCTTTTATCCGTAAACCTGCTGGCGTCTTTTGTACTCCTCATTGGTTCTTTTATCCAGAAAGGAGAACCGGAAAGGGAGTAAAAGAATATCTCAGATATTGTATGATGAGAATATAATAGTTTTTAAATAAGAATTTCTTAGAAAATACTTAGGGCCACTATTTCCAACGTTAACTTCTAACTTCTAACCGACTGTTAACTATCGAAATAGCCAACTTTTGTTGACTACTCTGAGAAGTTTAACAGTCGATCAGAAGTTAAAAGACGTTGGAAATAGTGGCCCCAACTTATCGCCATTTCCGCCAAAGCACATAACATGGCGTAGCGATATACGACGGTCGTAGTCCGTAGTCCTCGACCTGACAAATCAGGATACGCCAAAGCTTGTGCGTTACTTACGTCTACGACTATACGACTGTCATATGTGCTTTGGCCCTTAAGGCCATTGCACACGTGACAAAGTTTTAGTCATAATCGTAAGACCGTAAAAAAATAGACCACGCACAGTCGATTATTCTCCTTGAGCTCGAAGAATAATCGAACCGGAATAATAATATCGAGAATATTGATGTTTGGAGAACGCTTTTACTTCTTTACGTGCAATTTTTACACACGTGCGCATAAAAAGCTATTACGCTTAATTGCACGTACGCGATAAAGCTCAAAGCTGTATTATGATTTTTTTTTTGCGATTTAAATCTTGCCCGCAATCGCGCGATAGTATAAAAGGCATTATTTTTAATGGCGACGTTGACGCGGCTGCGCACTCCAATCTCTAAACTCCAACGTGGACAACGTGTTCGTGTTCTCCCTCTTAACTTAAGTTCTCAGTCGATCACGAGATACGAGATCGCTCCCGCACGCTCCCGATTAGTCCCGGTTTGTCGATGCGGAACGTGGGTTACAGGATAGATGTAAGTTTTCTCGGTCCTTTTTTTTTCCTTCTCTTATTTCGTTCGCGTTAATATAAAATATATCAGGCGAGCGGCAGATGGTATTTTCCACACAGGGAAAAATAGCGTCGCTGAGAATGACAGTTAAAATTTATTCTTACATATTTTTTTTCTCGCTAATAAACCACGTGCTCGTCGACATTTGTATTCACCTGTAGTACTTACCGCGCACATATTTGTGCAGTTTTATTCGGTAAACGAACTGTCCGCAGTGTCTACAGTATGTCAGCAAACTCGATCGGAAATCTCTGGAAAATTGGCGTCAATTGTATCCATATAACGCATCCTTACCACGTGCGCCCCATGAATCCGCCATGTTCCCACGTTGAACTTTCCATTCAAGCTATTTGATATCTTCGTGTAACATCATAAAATATTTCATAAAAATCATTACCATACGATATTTTATAAGAATATTTTAAAATTATGTATTAATGGTTAAATATTATGTATAATGTAGTTACCATTGTCGTGGAAACATTGTTACAACTTTTTCTCAAGTATTACTTTTTATAATAATAAATTTATAGTTCTGTAAATATATGTTGAAAACGGAACTATTAGTTTCGACGATATGAGGTGACCCACGCAGCCTGTAACGAAAGTTCAATGTAGGACAGGTGACGTTTAGTATTTTACCAATACAATCTGACTATTGACAGATGCAAACGCAGATTCTACTCAATTTTTGCTGCCACTCTGCGTCAAATAGTATAACAAAACTGTTATTATATTTAAATTTAAGCATCTAATGATATTCATTTCTTCTTTACAGGTTCACAAGGGCATCTTTACAAACATTAAGAAAATGACTGGATGCATCGAACACTACACGATTCCTCAAAGCCGTTTGCCACCCAGTTCACCAATAACGTCTCACTTATTTTTCGACGAAACAGATGATATCGGTTGTGCCGATTATCGATTTGAATCCACCCGGAGGGAAAGCTTCAAAAACTGGCCATGTTTATGGATAAAGCCAGAGAAACTCGCGGCCGCGGGTTTTTATTATACTGGAGAGAGCGACAAGGTAAAATGTTTCGAATGCCAGATAGAAATATGCGAATGGCAGGTGGATGACAATCCGATGGCCGATCATCAACGGTGGTCTGGGAGGTGTAGGTTTATTCGTAATATTCCGTGCGGCAATGTGCCGATCGGTACAGATCCTAACACGATTCCGGCACCTGTGCCTAAAGGAGTGGATGTATGTGGACCTTATGGTTCGATATATATGCCTTACTCTGGACCAGACCATGAGGAGATAGAAGAAAGAGTAAATTGTAAATTGAGAGGGATGGCCTCAAGACCGAAGCATCCCGAATATGCCAGTTGTGCTGCGAGATTAGCCTCGTTCGACAGATGGCCTAAAGCAATGTCGCAAACTAAAGAGACACTAGCAACTGCTGGTTTCTATTACACGGGAAGTGGCGATCAAACATTGTGCTATCACTGTGGTGGAGGATTAAGGGATTGGGAGCCAGAAGATGATCCCTGGGTAGAGCACGCCAAGTGGTTCGAATACTGTCCTTATCTGATTTTAACTAAAGGGACGGAATTTGTAAGCAGCATTACCGGGAGAACGTACGTCGGAGCGGTTAGTATTTAACAAAATATATTTATTGTTATTAGAATTGTACAATTTGTATATTTCAATATTTGTAATAAATATTCCCATCTATTTAAAAAATAATAAACTAATTGTGTTGAATGTATAGCAACTAACGTATAATAATTAATTTTAAGTTATTTATTTATTTTTTCAGGAAAATATACCATCTGCAATTAATAAATTGGGTGAGAAAATTGAGAAAGATAATGATGCTGAGAGTATTGCTAGCGGAAGCTCTCAAAATTCGATCTGTTCTGAAGAAACTCATACTACAGAAGTAAGTGCCGTATCAGGAGAGGCTAGCAGCGAAGAACAATCTGTCCAAGGTGATAAGCCATGTGACAAGGATGCAAGATCATGCAAAATTTGCTACAGTAGAGAAGTACGGATCGTATTTATGCCGTGCGGACATTTATTGGCGTGTGCGGAGTGTGCGAAAAATATGAAAATATGCGGCGTATGTCGTAAGCCTGTTGAACGTACTGTACAAGCGTACATCTCATAGTGTCTTTATCCATGTGATAAATAATCTGCGGATTCTGCTGTAAAATTTTCTACTTATCATCATTATAAAGACTGATACTTTCAAACAAAACTGAATGGCAGGACTCATGTAGCATACCGGTCAGCAGGTACAAACTATACAATGTTGAAACTCTCGTTAATGAAACATTAACTTCACGGTTGTCGTGGTTCTCAATAGAAAGGATTTTCTATTGAGACCACAATTCTATCTCGTATTC